TAGACACTAATTTTAGCTGCAGTTTCTGCATTTTCTTGTGTCAGGTGTTCGAAACGACACTTGTTAGTTTGTTTTCCTCGTTATGTTCACAAAATGTGAAATAACACAATAACAAAAGCAACAACAACAAAAAAAATGTCACGGTAGCCTTAACATAATCCATTTAAACAACTAACTGAAACAGATCATTTTCTATGCACTTCTTTAAACGTTAAAACTTGTTATATGTGGAGTTTTAAAGCTCTATACAAACCTAATGAAGCTAAAGCAATCTCTATCTAAGGGGGGGGAGGGGGGGTGAAAGCATCTCCTAAAACACAAGTTAATATCATTTTACACTATGATGATATAATGAGCGAGCCAGTTATACATCCAGGATAAATGGAGTGAGGAGCTGCCACTGTTTGATCCAAATTCGGCTGTAATGCGTAACATGATTAGCGCCGCACAGTTAGGAATCAAGCCAGCCTCTGGGAAATCTGCGACAGTCTTCCAATTCCAGGATGGGGTTCAAGTATGGGAACGCTTCCGGAGGGCCGACCTCCGAAACACGATGTGTCTTAAACAGAGGAGGAGAAGGAACACCGAGCAAATTTTGTTTTCTAAATTTACAGCATGTACCCAGGCAGAGGTAGTCCGCGTTTTTACAACCCGGGAGAATGACATGCACTTCAAATATTGGAGGGAAAACTGGCATAACGGCAACCGTAGAGTACCTTGTTATTGTGACTCCAAAATTTCATTTCATTTCGGTAGCAGAAATGAAAAGGCTCAGTAGATAAACTGTGTTACATTAGAGGCAATCTGGTTGCCTTCCTAACATGCGCCGATGCATAATTTAGGAAATTGACTTGGACGTTTTTATGTGGCTCTCATCATTATCATATTCCATATTTTTATGTGCATTAGAGGTTTAATTTCAGTTTTTTTTTTCTTTTGTTTTTTTGAGATTCTATTAATAAAAGGTCAGGAACTCTAACCCGATTTAGGAATATTCATTTTTGACATAGTAACTTTGATCAAACTTTACATCTTTTGGTTTTAAAGCATTTTTTCATTTAAATAAAGAAAAATCCTATTGTTGATTTTGTTAAAATAAGCAAATTTGCTTAATGTCACTTGTGTGGCTCTAAATACATTTTGTTCAGCTGGACCAAATGGCCCTCGGGGTTATAACGATTGCTGTCACACTTGAAATAAAAAGTGAAATAACTTATAAAGAACAAATATCTTAATCTATTTCTGCCCCAAACACGCAGAAAATAAATTGTAGCAGAAACACTTGCTAGCTTCCAACAAGTATCGCTGAGCTAGGGAGCTAAATTGCAAATAGAGCTGAGACGTAAAAAATTGGGGCTTATTTGAATTCCTTATTATCTCATTTGTCAGATAATAAAACAATGGAACTGATCTGAGCAGAGAAATAAAAGTTCTCCACTAAAAGATGAAAAAAGAAACTGCTCTAAACATATTTTAATGGCCGCCCCACTCATGGTTTAGTAACTGCCGTTACAGAGAGTCATTTAGAATAAAAAAAAACAAAAAAACATACCATTTATTAATACTTAAATGATAAATCTGTAAAATGTAAAAAGCACTTTTGCAGGTTAATATTTCTTATTCCAATTTTTGCTTTTTATATCAATTCCTTCAACTATTTTGCTATTAAAATTGTCTCTTTTGGAATTGTAATAAAACACAAAAACATAAACAACATTAAAACATCCTGGAAAAAAATGGAGCACGGGTGTCTCCATTTTTCTGCACAGGAAGTATAGCTGAATGGCTCCCCCTCCTGCTGGACTGTGGCAACTGCAGACAGAAGAAACAAGACGAAGTCTACAGTTGGGGAAAATAAAAAAAGAAATGCTCAACGGCTCAGAGGAAGTCGGATAATAATTGGACTGGAGCAGACCGTAGAAAAGGGAAAAGGGTGTGTGTGAGAGAGAGAACAAGGAGGAGAGAGGGCGAGAGGGAAAGAGGGCAGGGAACCAGGGGTGGGGCGGGGGTCAGGGGGGGCCCACAGGGACATGAGGGGAATACAAAAGAAGTGTGTTTAAGACAACATGAAAGCAGATGGTTCACAAACGGAGATATTGCAACGCGGGATGTGTGTAAAGACGTGATCAGAAGCAATCTGGACGAGGGAAAATAACTACACTCACGTTGGATTGCACGAAACCGTGGGCCGAAGGACGGCGAGGAGCCCGAACCCAAATCCGGAGAGTTCCGCCTCTTTTCCAGGCCTGGGGATGCCTGCACTGTAATTTTATGGATGAAATCTGCGCACACACACACACACACACACACACACACACACACACACACACACACACACACACACACACACACACAAAAAAAAATAAAAAAAATCACAAAACAGCTTTTTAAGACAATTCATGCTGCTGTTTGAAAGGTTGCAACATATTTTTTATCTGCCTGTTTCCTTAAGAATGTCAACAATTTCAGCTGATTTCCAACAGATTTCAGCTGCATTATTTTACACTACTCATTGAATATTTGGCTTTTCTGCTTTTAAAAACTCATACTTAATTAAAAATGTTACAATACTGCATGACAACTCACAGCAGAGATGATCAAATGAAAAAAAAAAAAAAAAAAAAAAAAAAACCCCACCCAAAAGCCGGGGACAATTAACTAGGGGGGCACAACGGTTTGTAAAAACAAAAAAG